CGGCTCCGGCCAGAAACCCCTCCCTGGTCCTCGGGAGCTCTGGCAGAATCCCTGCTGGACAGCACGGGCTTGGAGAGGGGCCTTCGGCGCGTGGCCGAGGGAAGTGAGTCGGGATGAAGGATCTCACTCAACGTACACAGAGGCAGAGGTGAGCAGCGCGTGCCAAGGATGCAACTTACCACCCATCAGATAGGCTTTCAGTTTGAGGGCGAGGGCAGCTGGAACACACCGCGTTTCAGCAACAAGACAGTGTGAGAGCACAAGTAGTGAGGAGTTGGAAAGAGGAGAAAGACAAACACAAGAACATCATGAGACATGGAGATGAGTGAATGAAAGCCAAACTCCAGACAGTTACACGCAGGGAGGAAAAACAGGATGCAGAGGCAGCAGGGTCACCTTTATACAAAGCACAGGGTTTTCCAGAAGGGCAGATACTGTCAGAGCAGCAGAACTGCAGCAGGGTGGGCTTGGGTCTATACATGTAGTAGCTTCTCATGGCACTCTGAGCAGCACCTGCTACTGCACCTTCTGTTGCTGTTAACAGATCCTACACAGCTACAGGAACAAGGAAGCTGCAATCTGCTCTGTAGCACCTGGTCAAGTGACAGAGCTGTCTACTACAAGACCTTAACTAGTGATCATAAAACAGAATAGTAGGTTCTGCAGCTTCCCCATGGAGCTCACGGTTCTGGCTGTTAGGAGAGAGAGGAAAAACCACTGCCTCAGAAGAGTCAACCAACCCTTCTATCCAGATAGGGGATAGAGGTGGGTCTACCCAGGGGGAAAGAGAAGTCCGGGACTACCTCCAAACCACCAAGAGCTGCTTTTCTGACTAACTGCTCTGAAAGCCCACGCTCTCAGCTGGCAGCGGTTAAGGCAAATCAGTTGCACAGACATGCTTAAAACTGTTCTGCTCATGCAAGGGCAGCTTTTTATTTTTTTCCTAAAAAGCACAAACCATATTCCAAGACAGAAGCCTGAAGCTCAGCACTGGGGAGGACAAGCATGCACACAGACAGGTTCGTAAGGGCCTGAACACTTCAGACTGTTTGACAGCCCTGAAATGGAGTATATGACTCAAGGGAGACACTAGCTCCCAATTTGGGTTAGAACTGAAGTTTGTCTCGTTGACTATGTCTGGCAATGAAAATCCTGGTTTTGAAGGTGAGCCTCCCTACTCTGTATAAGAGAGATTACAGCAAGATGTTTTTCCTTCCTGGCTGTTCCAATATCAAACACAAAAGCTGCCAACAAATTAGGCTGCCTTAATAGCATTATTGTCTTTTCACATGGAGGGTGTAAAAGACTGTCAAGATGCCAAGGTAAGCTTCAGCCAGAACTAAATCCTGCTTCACAAAATGGATGGGAATCTTCTTAAGGACATGCCTCTCAGCCTGAGATTTCCAAGTCCACAAAGGCAGCAGCATTGCACGAGGAACAGCTCAGGCAACCAGTACTGCCCCAGAAGGGAAGGTACAAGTTTTCAGGCCCTGGCAGGCTCGGGAACTTGACACTTGGAAAGGCCTACCATCTGGAGCTTGCTCCTGGTTCCTTCTCTTCCAACAAAGTTTTGAGAGTTAGCAACTCCTAAGCTATTCATGCTACTAGACTGGCAGTTTCTTCTCCAAGCTTGGGAGTCCCAGTGTCCCGGCAGGTGCTGCAGGAACAGAGACCCTGTCACCTCCTGAAGAAATGCTGCAGTGCAGGAGGAGACAAGCCAGCTAGGAACCAGAACAGTATGCTCTGCAGCCAGCCTGGCAGGCTGTTGGGGTTGAATGGTGTACAGATACCTCGGAAGGCCTCACGTTCCACATTCTAGGCTTCATTGCCAGTAAGCAGCTGGAATGAAAGATTTCAGTTCCAGAAAAGTGCAGAGCAAGACTGTCTGCCTTCCCTTTTCAACCCAACTCATTTTCTCTCACCCGAGAGCTTCTTCAGTCCAGGCAGCAAGGGACATACACAACTGGCAAGCCCTTTTCCCTCCCCACTGCTTCCCCCCTCACCCTGTCAGGATGGGGACGTCTCACTGTAAGGATCTAAACCTCCAATTAATTTTACAGAGTCTGGAGTGGTGCATCAAGTTCAGGGAAACATTCAGAATAAGGTCTTTGAGTTGTCTGAAGTCACCAAAACTGACCAAAAAAAAAATTCATTTAAAAAGTCCCACACCCATAGGGGCGCTGAAACTTTGCCAAAGGCAAAACAATCACATCTCATGGTTTTCCCTGTGACAGATATTCTTTATATTTCAGTCTCCACACCCTGCTTGCAGAACCACTTTGCCCATCTAGATCCCTTCAGTCCCTTTTCCCTTCCAGCTCTCAAGGTCTTCAATACTAATAAATTCATGGGCAGGATGTCCCTTACCTTCTCACAGGGCTTCAGCCATCCTTCACCATAAAAGCTTCCCTGCACAACTTCAGCTCTTCCAACAAAGGCATGTGCACTTTTACAAAGGCTGTGATGACTGGGCACACCCTGCTTATCCAGCCTAGCTTCCACTGATAGGGTTTAAGAGTGTAAGATGATTTAAGTCCAGTTTTCACCGCTTCAAGTGTCTACAGGGACCTACCCAACCATCCTCCCACAGACTTCTCTAGAGTTTGAAGCACATTTGTAGAATGGCCAATCTCAAGCAGGACAGTTATCTGTCTCTGATATTTCCATGAACTGCTTTGCATCAGGATGACCTGGGTGCACAGCCACGTGTGTAAGGCAGGCACAGCTAATTTAGTGCTAAAGCTGCAGGCTGAGGAGCTTGCCTTTCACTGCTGACTGCTGCTTACACAGTCGCTTCTCCCCACAGGGGCATCAACTTCCTCCACTTTCCTGAAGGTTGCCTGTGGAAGCAGCACAATAAGCAACTGGGGAACTCATTTCAGTTAAAAGTTGTGTTTATTGTACTATCACAACCAAGGAGATGACCCAAGGGTGACAAAAAAAAAAGCAGAGATTGCTTATAACAAGCATGGGTGCCAAAAAGCACTTGTCAAGCTACCTACTAATTAAGCCTGACCCAAAACTTGGCCATTTCACCTGGCAGAGACAAAAGCCTTATTGTGGGGCTAAACACATCTGTAAAGTCATCTGGAAAGGGCAAAGTCAGCACCCACAGGAAGATTTCCAGCAAGAGACAAGGACTTGGCAAAGCAAAAAGGTGAGAATGTGTGCATAACAAAGCATAAAGCCAACACAGCCCTTCCCCATCCCACCCAGTCTCAGACGACATTTCACCTCACCTACCATCAACATTGTAGACCTTCAGGCCAGCCATGTGCTTGGCTGCACGGGATTTGGAGGCTGTTAATAAGGCTGGGTTGTACACTGTGAAATCTCTGTAGTAGTTTTCCAGAACCACCAGTGCAGCTCGCTGGATGCTGGGGAAAAAAAGAAAATACCACCTCAAAACCCCCCATAATGCAACAAATTCTTTTGTTTCCTTAAAATAATAATTAAAAAATAAGAAATAGCCACACTATTTGAAACACGGTTCTCACGCCTACAGAATTGTGCAATATGCAGAATACTAATTACTCTCTCTAGGACCTGAAATTTCATTTGAGATGCAAGATAAATGTCTCTGCCCTCACCGAAATAGGAGGATGACAGGAAATCCCTCAACAAGGGCAGCACAAACTGAAGCCCTAGGCTGCCTGCAGAATGGGAAAACAAGAACGAGAGCTCAGCCCACCTCAGCAGTATAATGGCCATGACAGAGAGCATGCCAGGCATGATCAGAGCACCACTCTGGTTTTGCTGTAGCTGGCTGGCCTAGGCAGAGGGACGAGCTCAGGATGGATGCTTTCCCCTTTGAGTCACCTCCAGCCGCACCTTGCAGATCCTCAGATCTCCTCCAGTTGAGCATTGACAAGGGCCCAATCTTTTCAGCTTTCACAGCAAGATATGATCGATGCCCGAGGAGTACAGCTGCCAGAGAAGGGATTACCTCAGTATCGCTTGTTAGATCCCAGGCAAGGGACAGAACAAGGAGCAGTGACACTCCCTCCATCCTTTTGAAGGGATGCCTTTACATAAAAGGATGACACATAGGAGCAAAACAGTACACGCGCCAGCAGCAGGAAAGGCTCAACCCAGAGGTATCTTCCTTTGCAATCGTTTCAACAACAGAGATATGTCTGTAGGCAATGCTACCAACAAATAGGACAGTGTTTCAAAACAACCCAGAGCTGCTGAAAAATGCCAACGCTCATGTGGTATCTAGGACATAGCTCCCACTCCACGTTGCTCTGGCTGCATGCCATGCGTGGTGTCCGGCTGGCAGGAGCAGTCTCAGCAAATCACCAAGATCGCCGATTCAGCCAGCTGGAGTTTGCCAAGAACCCACACTTCATTGCACTTTGAACCCACAAAAATTATAAGGGAACTGCCAATACATTTGTTGACTGTTAATTGTGAAGTTCACACTTGCCAGCAAAGCCTCTCCTAAGGAAAGCAACCAAGTATTCTCACACATTACAACATAGGAGGAAAACATTACAAGGATGGTAACATGGGAAACTAAGGGATCAACAGCTTAAGACCTGAATTCAATGCTCAGCACTACCACTGATTCAGTCTGTGATCCTGGAGGAGCGGCATAAATTTTCCTGTGCCTTGTGCTAATATTAAACTCCTGCATCACACCCCAGCAATTTAAACACACACCCACACCCCCCCTCTGCCATCCTCATTCTTCAGCTACCCTCCTCCCACTGATCAGTGAATTAAGTGTAGATGTCAGCCCATTCACAATATTCTGAGAAAGAAGAACAAACCCAGACTTGATCACCGTGTACCTTCATCAGTCAGTAGTATGGTGCAGTGCCATATATTTCATTATCTATATATATCTAAGACGATGAATTCGGCTTTTGAAGCAAATTCCATCCTTAGGACTGTTTGGTGGGGTCTTCTGCATCCAGCTAGAACATCTTAAAGCAGCCTGACCTTTCAGGTGCCAGTCTTTCATATTTTCTCATCTCTTTTTTTTTTTTAAAGCAACTCCATTTAAGCAATCAGGTACTGATATGTAATAGAAAGCCACTATCTAATCTAGGAAATAATTTTGCATTAATGAAGCAGTACAGACTGACCCACTGTCACACACACATAGGCAAGAACACAGAATAAGTGAAAAACAGTTTATTTATCCCTGTCTGTCCGATTTCTACTGTGAATTTGCTGCAGCTTTAAAACAAAATTTCATAAAAGAAGTCATGCTGCAGCAACACATTCACCCTTCTGACTGCATTCAAAATGACCAACTTTTTCCACGTCCACTTCCCAGAAAGGTAAAATTCCACAGAGTTTAATCTCAAAATGTAACATTTGGAAAACTAGGACCAACTAAAAACAAGGAGATAAAGAACAGAGTTATAGTCTGCTAATACACTGCACTCATTTCAGACAGCATTGGGACTTCCAGCCCAGCAGTGGGAAATGTTTGGGAGGTGCTCCATTAAGTCCTCTGTTAGGACAAACACAATGCATCACAGAAGAGAAAAACTTATTTTTTAACACTTACACATTTTCCCTGAACCTCACAGACAGCATTATCATCAGGATGCCAGCGTTCCCCACCCACTACCCCTTCCATCCCCTCACTAAATAACCTACCCACCAAGTCATCAGCACATGGACCCAAAACCCAGACAGAATGAAGCTTTTACATCACAATAGGCAACCATCTCTGCCCTGAAAATTAAAGTCCAGCTATTTTTTTGCTGATGCAAAACCAGTACAGGCTCAGTCTCACATTTGAGATACACCAATCACAGGGAGGGTCTGCTCTCCAGGGAGAGAACTGTAATTAAACATCACACTAAGTTTCTACCAGCCCATTTCTGTTTCTCATGTAGTCCATCCTAAGCATGGCCAGCTAGGAAGACGGCTGTCCTGTGACTCTTCAGATTCTCTTTTAAAGAAAAAAGAAATAACATTAAAGCCAAGATGCTGCAGACAAGAAAATTAGAAGGGTCACAATAATTAGTAAGAGCGAGGAGAAGGCTGAATCAGAGTCTTCTGGGCTGCATTGCTCAACCTCTTCACCCACATCAAGGGGAAGCCTCACCCTGCACAGCGCGGGACAGCCAGCCCTGTCCCACGCAGGAGCTGCAAAGCAACAAGAACTGCCCCCCAAACAGGCAGAGCTGTCTGAAACACAGCAGAAAGGGACCCAACACCCTCGTGAAGCAGAATGTGAGAGGAGGAGGGCAACCACAAGCAAATCAGCAACCAGAGCAGTCCTGAGGAGTGGGTAGGAGCAGAGCAAAATTCTAAGGAAGCCTACTGTCTCCTGACAGAAGTTCAGGTTTTTGGGGACTTCCATACTACAGGACAGACCCTCTGCTGCCTTGTGAGCAAGGTGAGGTGGCTGCAGCAAGGCTCCTCTTCACCCCCACGCCAGCTCCAGTGGGAATGGAAGCTGGCAGCCTTCCCAGAGCCCACTGCTTCCTCACAGCAGCGTCTCGGGAGGAGTTCAGCACCATGTCAGTCACTGCATTCATTCACCCCACACCTCAGCAAACAGGCTCTCCTTGCCTATACGATTTTAAAAGAATGGGGAGAGGCAGGAAGAAAATTAGCAGATAAATTCAATACTTCACTGCCTGTTTTGAGAAGGTCAGAGTGAGGATCCTCCTCATGTCCACGGAAGAGGATCTGGCAGCCCAGTATATTTCAGGCAGTGTAACAAACTACCAGAACACAGAAAAGTGTATTAAGACACAAAAAGCATTTTCGTGCAACAGTTCAGACCCAAAACCTATGACATGATAAAAAAAAAAATAAAACAACTTCTTGCACATGCCAGTGGTCTACTGGAAACCCAGTTTCCCTTGTAGGCAGTATCAGTAAGGCTCTACATTTTGTTGCTTGCATTTTGTGTAAGTGAGAGGGGGTCGTTTTTTGTTGTTTTGTTTTGTTTTTTAAAAAAATCATTCCTTCCCTGAAGAAGGTCATGTCATAGCATGCTGCTAAGAGGGAAAGCAAACAAGCAGACCCAACAGAAGTACAGGGTACCTTAGTGGCATTTGGCAGCAAAGAAATGCAGAGTCCTTTACAAACAGTAATGAATTAACTTTACAGGACAACCCAGAAGGTGGAGGAGGGGACTACATGACAAAGGCAGCAACTGTTGCCAGTTTTTTTCTCTCAAAAGGTACATCAGGAACAATTTTGCATGAATGCTTGCTGCAATGTGGGATTTTGATAGTCAAGGTCTTGCCATACTCTGCAGATGAAAGGCCACTTTGGCTTTGTATTGGCCTTCTGTGACATAGCTACACCAATACTGAAATTGTTTGTTTTTTTTTTTTTTAAGAGGATTTCCAGGAAAACAGTGCTCTACTGAAGCAAACCACAAGCAAAGAAGTCTGTTTACATCATCAAACATTGGCTTTGAGCCCTGCTGATTTCTACAAAAAGGGTCTTGTGTCTTCTGAAGTGCTGGGAAAGGGCTAGTGAAAAAAAAAATGAGAAAATAAAAGGCAAAAAGACTGAAGCCACACCTCTATGCCCAAAGCCACGATGGGACACAGCAGGGTCAAAGCCAGCAGGCTGCAGCAGCTCTTATTGACATGGTTTTAGTGGTTTCATGCTTTCCTGCTATGCTAGAAACATGGCCTGTCATGGTACTGTACCAATCACCAGCTTAGACACTGCTCATCATCGAAGGCAGAGGAGTGCCTCATGCTTTTGCAATACACAGAAATAGAATTACACATCCAGAAAGAGCTGAGGTGCTTGCTACCAAAGCATTCAATTCCTTACCTTGCTACAGATGCAAATCCTGCAGCATCAGTCTAGGGTGAGCCACACACCTAAAATCCACAGGGATAGTCAAAGAGGTCTGATCATTGCTGTGTTAATTGAGGGCTGAGGAAGCCTAGGGTTATTTAACCAAATGGTTTCCAACACAGACTCCTCTTCTCCAGACAACCTTCATTTATGTTCTCCAAAAAAGACACAGTATCAAAACAAGGCAAGGTCTCTGGGACACACAAAATCCATGCCACAGCCAGTGGGGAAAGCTTTGGCACCTCAAAGGGAAGCTGAGCAAGGATTGCACAAGGAGACCTTCCATGCAGAGCTGCCTTTGTTTTACCAGCTGTCTCCAGCCTACAACTGCATCAAGCTTATGTACTGCAAGAGATGCTGAGGTCTCCTGGAATGCTGAGCTGCTCATCCACAGCACTTCTAACTCTAGCAGTGCTGTCAGATCACACCCAATGGTCTTGGGAAAGCACAGAAGTTTTCCAGACATGCCCAACAATCACATCTCCCTACAAGAAAAACCCTTTCCTTTTTTTCCTTACTCTTTGGCTACACGCAGAGCTGGGGTTTGAGTTCCTAGTCCTTCCTCACGCTTTACTGCTCT